CATCCGCCCCGGGCCGCTGCGGGTTGGGGTTGGGGCTGGGGCCGAGCGCCGGGCCTGAGGATCGGGGATTCGGGGCTCCGAGCCCAGCCGCACAAGCCGCCTGGTGAGCCGCACAGCGGCCGCCGCCTGCAGCGCCGGCCTCAACTTGAAGAGAAAGAAAAGTTTGTTCAGAGGCGGCGGGGGAGGGGCGGGAGCGGAGCGCAGAGCAGAGCGGAGGCCGGCCCCCTCCCCCTTCACTCGGCCCAAGGCCCAGAGCGCCGCTGCCCGCCATCTCTTTCTTGCGAGGATCATGCTCCCCACATGCCCGCAGGACCTGGGACCCTCCACGAGGGCTAACCGGCCTCATAGACCTTACAGTGATCCTGCCCCTCAACACCACCCCTCGGAGATCCAGTCGCCGAATCACCCATCGAGGTCTGTGTTCCTCCATAGTGAATGTTGACACTTCGGGGTCCCGTCCTCCTACCCCAGAGAATTAAGCCCCCTTTCCTCACCCGCAATAACATGACCCCTAACTCCCATAAAGGTCTCATTCCACCCCAAATCCTTTCCATCCTGCCCCGCTACAGCTCCGAAGGATCAGGTTCCCAAAACCTGCGAAGGATGCAGGATGAATCTCCCCCCATCCCTTTCCCAATCATCCGAATGGGCGGGGACCCCCAACTTCCGTTCAGTCCAGCCCCCTCTCAGATCTGAACCCCCATACTCATCTCGGTCTGGCCCCTCAACAAATTCCTCGGGGGGGGGGTTCCTCCACAGAGATCCAATCCCCTCCCATATGCCCCCAGACAAAGTCCTGAGCCCTCGAACCCCTCACGCTGGGTCCCCGGCAGCCCCTCGCAGCCCGGGCAGAGAGCCCTTCCCCCCTCTGGGCCAAGTTCCTGGCACCACCTCCCACACCCGCAGCCAGGGCCTTGAAGGGTTAAGTAGTCGGAGGCAAGGAGGCCCCCACCCCTTACCCTACTAGAAGAGTTCCCCCAAACCCCCGGGCTCCCGACCTCTCCCCAGAGCCGCAGTGGTCGCGCACAGATCCTCACGTCCGGGGTTGCTCAGGTGTCTCCTTCCCCGGGGAAGCGGTCCCGGACTCTCAGCGGCCACTTAAGATGGCCATCCTCCGCCACCGCCCCCCCGCCTTCCGCCCCGCCCGCCGCTCCGCCCCCGCGGCTTGGCGGAGCCAAGGATAGGACCCGCGCTCCGCCTTCCCCCGGCCCCGCTCGGCCGGAGCCGCTGGCCCGCGCAGTGACCTCGGGCGAGTCACGGCACCTCTCCGAGCCTTGGCTTCTCGCTCTGTAAAATGGGGATAATTTTATGAGGGGAGACTCAGTGGGACTGTGCTTGTAAATCTCTCAGCACAGGGCCTGGCATCCAGCAGGCGCTCCAGAGCGACGGCTATTTTTATTATTAATTAAGGAGTAACGAAAGTGACAGCTGTGTAAGCTGTAAAGCGCGGCTGGGAGACGAACGGGTATTATTAGCACCCGCCCGGGTCCCAGCTACTCCTTCCAAGTCAACAAACTTGCGCCTCTGTGGGCGGAACCCTAAGCCGGGAGCTCCCGGGACGGGGTACGCTCCGACGCCCCCGGCCCCACCCTCTCCCCTCCGGCTGTGGGCGGGAAGAGCACAGGGCCCCCGGGAAGGGGGCGGGACCCAAAAGAGGGCCTGGCCCGCCCCATCCCCAAAAAAAGACCTAGCCCTTGGCGGCGTCTCCTGGGAGTCTGCTTCCTGCCCCGCCCCTTCGCCCCCTGGCTCCTTAAAGGCGCAGGCATCCATCCCGGCGCCCACTGCCGCCAACTCCTAGGCCAGCGTCGGAGGGTCCCCTTTAACCTCGGATACAACTTTCACTTTACTAAATTAAACCTGTTGACGGAGTCCAGGTCAGTCTTGACGAGCTCCTGCCTCCATTTCGAATATCCATTGGCTTAACGCAGCTGGAACAAAGCCTGGGACGTGGAGGTGGCTCGCTCTGTGGGACCTTCCAGACCAGATAAATGTAATAAACATGAGGCCCCGCCCCTCCACACACCTAACAGTGTCTCTAGACCTTGCCAAAAACCCAATAACTCATTCTCCACTCAGTTCCCCGCTTCCCCCATCAGTTGTTCGAGGGAGGGTAAGCCTCGCCTAAGGGGACACCCTGGTGCGGGGGCGAGAGACCTGGACTGCATACCTGGGTTCCAGTCCTAGCTCTGCCACAGAGCTGCCACCAAGCTGACGGGTATTCTCAGATCCCTGCACTGTTCTGGGGATGGGGAAACTGCAGTCGGAGTGTGGAGAGAAAGCGGCGGGCGGGGCGGGGGGAGGCCGGAGACTCAAGAGACCAACACAGGTTAAGCTTCTGGGGGTTGGGCAGAGACGCAGCAATCCTCCGGAATAGGCATATCGACCAATCCCGGGTAGGGGCAAAGGTGCCAGAGGAGGCCTGACTCCTGCCCCTGGGAAGCCCCAAGCGTTTCCAACCCTTTTCCAGCCACACCTCCAGGACACAGCAGGGCTGGACCTGTTCCAGGCTCTTGAATATTCCCTCTCTAGGTACCTCCCAAACTGTCCTTCCCCATCAGCTCTCTCCCTCTTATGAGGGATCCAAGCCCCAGCTCTGTCCTTTTAATCCACATCATGTCAAGTCGCCCCCCCACCCTCCGCCCACC